TAGTATATCATAACTAAAATGAATAAATCGCTTCATGTCGTTGACTCTGCTGGGCTCTACCTTCTCACCTGGACCTGCTGTTAACTTTGCTGACTGACTCTGGCATTTTTCTACAACTCCTACAACTCTCCCGCCTGGGTGCTCATTTTTGCTTCTTGATTGTCACCGCAGACTTACTTTTGTGTCCATACAAAAGATAACATACCTCTGGCAGATTTTGTCAAATGTTGGCTACACCGACACCACAAAATAGTTCACTTCTTTTATGTAAAACATCACCTAGAGAAGCATCAAATCCTCTGGAACTAAATAATTTAGCGCAGGGTTGGGGAACGCCTGGCCCGCAGTATCGTTTGGTCTGGCCCTCCAAGCTGGTTCCCCTAGTCACTGGATGCTGACGCTGTAGACTGGAAGGGATAATCCACCCCTCCCCACCTGCAGTGTCCGACACATTCGGCCCTCCTCTCCCCTCCGCACCTCCCTGGAGCGCCTGGGCTGCTCAGCCCTCGCTGACAGGCTGTACCTGCCGGCTGACTCAGAGAGAGAGCCTTGAAAGTTGTCCTCTGTGGACGTACAGTAGAAAGGCATCATGGCACACTCACAAACCAGCATGTAAAACAACTTGTCTCACCACTAAGGACAATGACAGAGGTTTGGATACACGTCTTCTGCAAAGGATGTGTAAGCCGCACTGCCGCGCCAAGGCACCTCTTATAGTGCGGTCCTAACTCTAAACTATGAGAGTCTCCATCTTGGAGCACATGGGGGCAGAAGATATCAAATTGGGTGCAGGCTTGTCAGGAGGACGCCCCACCTCCTTAAAGGTACAGAGACACACAAGGGATCCCGCACATCCCATTGGCAGCTGAGAAACCCCATGCGTCGCTGCACCAAATCGGTAAAGCAAAACAAACGACAAACGCACTCAACAATTTGTTACCAGTTATACAGTTACCAGTTGTCCTCTGTGGAGGAGCGCCTGTGGAGGTGAGTTTGTGTTAAGTTTGAGTATTGCTGGAGGGGGGTATTGCTGAAGTGTGTCCACTGGTGGATCCTGGGGGGGTATTGCTGGATTGCTGGAATGTGTCCCCTGGTGGATCATCAGGGGGTGGGGGGAGGGGTTTGTTGGAGTGTGTCCAATGGTGGATCCTGGGGGGGAGCTGGAGCTTTAATTTGATAATTTTGTATTGCCTGTGAATAATGTTATAAATATCCAAATAGCCCTTGGCAGAAAAAAGGTTCCCCTGATTTAGAGGGGCAAAACCAAAATTCAACTTTAGGGTCACAATCATGATCACTGTTTGTAGAGGAATCAATAAGGCCCATGTAGAGAAGTGCACTATCTCTACTATAAAGCATGGAGGTGGATTTCTGCTGTTTTGGGGGTGGGTGAGCTACAGTGGCACAGGGAATGTAGTCAAAATTGATGGCAAGATGAATTCAGCTTATTAACAAAACATACTGGAAGAAATCTTTTATAGCAGTCAATTTTGTAAGGATTGTTTTTGGTTTGAGGTTGAGCACTAGCACACTTGTTACTGATTTTCTGATATTTAGTTTAGTTTGGTTCAGATTGCTGCCAAGCATAGTTTATTCTTTTCTTACCCTTGAACAGAGCTTTTCTCCTTTTATGTATATTTCTACCAAGACAATTGCTTGCATGTATTGCAGTGAAAATCTGGCTTGCTATAGAACTATACAGGAAGAAAATGTTGTACCTTTTACGGATACTTCAAAGGGAGCTGCGGCATATGTTGATCATCCTCTAAGATGGATCAAAATTGCAGAAATGTCCCTAACACACCTGAAATGTAAACATTTGTAGAAAAATAGAACTGAAATGTATAATACTTGTCAGACAGTCAAATACGTAAGATGAAATTAAATATTTGACTGTTGTCTAGCGACAATTTCTCCTTTTTTCTTCCTATGCTTAAATAGAGTTCTGACATTCAGCTATATAACCCCAACATTTTTATCTGCTCTCCTATCACAAAAAATGTCAATTTCATACTAAAATAAAACTTTACACAGAAAAAAAAGAACAGATTTATTTTTTACTTAATTCGGCACAGTTAAAATAAAATGCATATCTTTATGTGTATACATGGAGAATGTTTAAGTAAACAGATAGCATTCTTCAACAAATGCTACCCAGTAACATAATGACAGAAATAATTACAAATAACTCTAAGTCATAAACAGAGCAGACAACAGCATTATATTTGCAATGTACATATTGAATAGTTTTGAAGTACAACTTTTTAATACAAATAAAGGCTAAACATTCTGGTTTAGCTTTTTTTCCCCAATCTTTAAAGGAACATTTCCTTAAATATATGAGGAATAAAGCAATATTGTTGCACTTTCTGAACTCTTAAGTACACAACCATAAAAAAATAACCAATCACCTTTTGTGAAGCTATTTGTTTATGCACATTTTTTTTAATATAGTAGCAACGGTTTATTAAAGGTCACTCATAGTCTTTCTTTGAAACTGCCTTAAACCAAAAATATTTATATTTATATATATATATCGAGAAAGAGAGAGAGAGAGAGAGAGTGTCATAGAGAGCTTAAAAGTGCATCTGGTGGATGAAAATCAGAGTTATATATAGAAGATCCATGGTGTGCAAATTTGGTAATCCGGAGTTGGTTCCCGGTTGTGACAATCGACACTGTGATTTTGATTTTTTTTTGGGGCAGTGAAGTCTCTTTTTGTTTGGAACAGTGGAAGGTTCAACAGAATCAAAAACATTGTTTTGATTTAGCTTTGTTAGGGAGTTATCTACTTTGCTCGTGAATGTTCCAAATGGGGAGTGATTAATTGGCTTATATGTTTTGTTTTTCTTGGGGTCAGCATTACCAATGATTTTTGTCTTTGAAATATTTTCTTTGTCTTTGACTGGAATATTTGGCAAGACTCTACTGGTATGAGAAGATGGGCCAGACTTAGCATTTGTTCCCGTTATTAGCGACTTATCGACCGTAGGTGGACAACAGCTGTCTGCCATCTCTTCGCCCTTGACTTCAAATGGACCTGTTCTCATTTGAAGGAAAGAAGTGTTGGCACATCCATCAAGATCAGTGATGGCTAGTTTTTTAAGGTCCTTCCCAGCTAGGTTTGGTGGAACATAACACTCCAGCTCTGATGATGAGCCTTTAAATGCTTTCAGCCAGTTCCAGAGGGATTTAGCTCTGCAGTCACAGATCCACTGATTTGCATTTAAACGTAGGTATTGAAGGGATAATAAAGGTAACAGTATTTCTTCCTTGAGCACGGTCAAGTTGTTACTAAACAAGTAGAGAGTTGTTACTTTCTTAAGATCATGAAAAGTTCTGCGATGGACATAATCCAGCCTGTTTTGATGAACCAGTAATCTGTCTAAATTCACGAGGCCACTAAATACATTTTCAGATAAGGTATTAAGTTTGTTGCCATGGAGAAACAAGTAAGTGAGGTTCCCCAGATCTACAAATGTGTCATCATGCAAGAAATTAAGATTGTTTTCATGGAGATAGAGGTACTTCAAAGAGAAAAGGCCTTGAAAGATGCCAAGAGGTAAGTCCTGCAGACCACAGCGATTGAGGTGTAAAGTATGTAAGTGTACAAGACCTCGAAATGTGAGTGGAGCAACAGATCTGAGGTTATAGTTATCACTCATGTCTAACTCTTCCAGTTTTGTTAATCCATAAAATGCTCCAGAGTCTATATGACTGATGTTGTTTGAATGGATCCATAGATTAGTAAGGTTCTGGCAGGAAGAGAAGCTTGTTGCCCTTACAAATGTAATTTTGTTATTGTGAAGAAAAATGCGCTGAGTCTGTGTTGGAATGTATAAAGGGATGGCAGTTAGTCTTTGCTGTGAACAACTGAAGGTGATTTTTGGTTCATTATAACATAGGCAGGCTTCCGGACAACATTCCACTTTGAATATGTAGATGATGCAGCAAGTAAGGAGTAAGAGCAGCTTAGCGCCTGCAAAAGAAATGACAGAAAAGTGTAAATTACTTAATTTATCAATTATACTATATAGATGGTAACATAATTGTGCTGTTTAAATTACATTAATATTCTTTCTTAGATATTAAAATTTATCACAAATGTTTAAGTATTTATTAAAATATAATTTACGTTTTTATTAAATTGTTAAAAGTGTAGCTTCACCTTTGACAAAGCTAGTGCTGCATACATGACAGTAAAATAATAATCCATTTTTTATTTTTTGTTTTCCTATGTGTTTGCTTTAATGTGTATTTACAGGCTCTTTAAAAAATCAATTGTGTGCTACTTAAAATAGGCAAATTTGCTTCATGCTATGCCATCAATTAACTAAACAATGTTCAGTATACACAGCATTGCATTGTTTCCTCATGACAGCAAGCACAATTTGAACATCCTGGATTGGGCATAGTGGAAACTTTAAGAACCCAACTGCTATTTACAGAGTTAATTTTCAAAATAACAGCTTAGTAAAAAAAAAAAGTGTATGGAGATAGAATTACCCTTGAATGATACCTTATTTTTCAGTGCCTTAGTGATAAACTATGATTTACATCAGCTCATACCTTAAAGTACATCTAAAAGTTCCTAAAGGTGACAGTTATGAAAGTCTAAATAGGTCCCAAACCCAGTTACTATGTACAAGTCACATATCACATAAAAAATCCTGCAGCAGAGGCAGTTCTGTCAATCCAGAGAGCAGTGAGCAGGACTAGGTGTAGCAAGGAGAGATTGACATGCTTGCGAATCAGCAGCAACAATACTGATACCAACACCCCCTGCAAGATCTTCTCATTCCATATGTAGGCACAGCTTTCATGAGGGTGACAGCACTGCTCTTTATTCAGGAGCAATGAAGCAGCGGTTACCCCATTACATGAAGCTACTTGAGGTGGACTTTAATGGCAGGATTAACACATATTTGTGAGAATTCGCAGAGGCACTAAGACAAAGTAAGAGTAGTAAGTGGAGCAAATTCAACAACAAATCAATTCAAACACAGGCAGAATATACAAAGTTTTTTTTGGAGAGATTGATCTGGTTGATTCCAAGATTGCAGCGTGGTACACATCTGCTCTTTTATCTACTGTATATGTATAAATGAACAAAATATTTGGATAAATAAATATATCTCATCGGTCTTTCCTTAAGAAAAATTGGTATGCTTTTTTTCATTTTAATTGTAGTAATAATATTACAACTGGGGAAAAAGAAAGTAGATGTTTAAGCGTAGAACTAGCCCATGATTAACAATCTGCTGTCATCATTTATTCTCTGGAAAAATAAACAAAGAATATGGTTGGCTATTGGTGGTTTATGCTCTAGAAAAACAAAACAAAGAATATGATTCGGGCAACGTCACAACTTTTGTTTAGGTTTTCCTTTTCACCGTGTTTTAAAAACAGGCAAATTTATTATAAACCAGTAAAACGTATTTCTTCTTACAAGCTGTAAAATGTTATCTTTTTCACCGTGTTGATAAATTAACTTGCCACGTTGGGAGCCCTCTTTGTTTAAAACATAGTACAGCAAATTGTTTGCGCTACCTATGTAAGTACATGTAGTAACAATCTTGTAGTTTCATTCAGAGCTAGTGAGCTAAAATACCCCACAAAAATGGAGCTATGAAAACTGGAACAAAAATGGAAGTTTGTTAACAAGAAATCTAATTGCTTAAGACAATAACTTCACGTTTATACCAGTTTTCAGAAATATTCCCCATGGGGTCAATTCACAAATGATTACTGCACTTAAACAGGCTTTTACTTCTTAAAATAAACAGTAATAATAAATACAAATAAATATTTTCTGACATGATAATTGTGAGATTCTATAAGGAGTCTATTGAGGAGAGCAGAAAATGACCAGGCGCTTAAACACTACTCATTTCATTGGAAAAAATAGTTCCACACCTTTTCAATATTTATGTTTGTAAATTGAACAATTCAAATACAGCTTATTGATCCTCATGTCTCCAATCGATTTTTATTTTGCAGTAGTGTGGTAGTATGCATACCTTTTAGGGGATTCTCATACTATAAAAGCTAAAATGCATCTTAGTTCAAAAGAAGATTAAAAAGTAATTGACCTGCGGTAATAAAAAACAAAACATACAGATTTCATTGCAATACTTACCTTATCTTAGGTACTGCCCCCCTCAGGCTCGCCGCTTTGCGATCCACTGCTGGTCCTCTTCCAGGTTAAATGATGCTCAGCATCATTCAACCCAATTTCTGTGAGCCCAGGACATCAAGGACACGCCCCAGGGGTTTGTAATCAAGGCACCCTGGGTTTACAGGAGAATGTTGCAAGGAATGATGTCATGTCACTACTCTCTGTAGCATTCAGGACCTATGATGTCAAATGAGCACATAGAGGACCTGTGATGCCACATGACTTGATCGAAGACCCCAGGAGGTTGCAGAAAACAGGGCCTAAACTTGAGTTAGGCTTTAATATCTTCCCAGGAAACTGATTTCCGGTGTGTTTAAAAAGGGTCTTCACTAGCTAATTGTGAATTGGCAGTTAATAGGTTTAAATATTTTTTTTTACGCTTAGGCCTAGGCCACAGGTTCCCAGATAGACATAAATGGCAGTCCATACACACTACTAAACACTGCATGCTGCTTCTCAGCCTCCTTATACTACCCGTTACATCCACTGATTTATAATACAACAATATAATTGCCAACCTGACAAGGGGGGCTAGAGTAGGACTAACACACCAACTAAAATATGCATAAAAGATCTTCTGTTAAATAATGCATTAATTATTTTACCTCACAACTTAATGCGGTATTAAACTCTTAGTGAATTAAGCCCTGTATTTAGAAACAGAATGCGGGTCAAGGTTCAGGAGGCTTGATGGTAATACATTTGTCTCATGCTGCCTGGGATACAATTCTCCCTCTTATGCTAGATACAGACCTCTTTAGACTAACTCAATACACATAGCTAATGCTCTATACACAGATTCAAATGTGGCGTCTGGTGGGCATTCCCATTGCTATGACCAGATAGAGAATGGAGTGCAGGAAGGCTTTTTGATAAGGATCACACTTTGTTGTAAAAGATGTCTGCCACAGCTGCCTGTGTTTGGAGCTTCAGGTCCATTTAAGTACTAAGAGTTCATTTTTTAGGAAAAGGTTTCGGAGGTCTGCCCTCTTCTTTTAAAGTGACATTAAACACTCAGATTTTTTAACATAAAACAATACTGTAATGTGCGCCTTACTGTAATCCACGGTTGCTTCCCTTCTCTTTGCTGCTCTTCCTTTTAAATCTGTATCTGTTCTCATGCTGGGCAGAACGTCTGTTTTGCAGCAGACTGCCTTGTCTCTGGAATGGATACATGGTATCTGTGTGCAGGTTCACAACCTGAGCCAGCACTACAGGAAGAGGCACTCAGCTGCAAAGGGAAGTTCTCCCCCAGCATGAGAAGACATGAGGATTTAAAAGGAAGAGCAGCAAAGAGAAGGGAAACTACCATGGATTACAGTAGGCACACATTACAGTATTGGTTTATGTTAAAAAATCTGAGGGTTAAATGTCACTTTAAGTTCAAGCAGTACTGTTACTATTGGTTTGTGTTTTATTTTGTGATCAGGTTAGGTATCTGATTCTTCAGGTGGCTATAAGCAGTATCTCTCATCTTGCTTACGGTGATTCTAGCCGTATTAGTGCAATTAGAACAAGACAGTTATAACATAGGTGATGCTTTTTTATTTGCTCTAATGGTTCATTTTTTCAGACACTCTTCTGGGAGTCCAAAACTGCCTGGACCATGGAGAATGGGGTAGACCCCAAAAGCTTGTCCTTAAAATGAATTGTTAGTTTAAATAAAAAGGTGTCATCTACAATACTCAAATGTGTTGTTAGGAGTGAACTTATATGGCTACAACCACCTTACACATACTGCAGGTCAAGTGATGCTTTCTAATGTAACAATATGCAGAGGTTATACATAAAAAGGTATAGATTTCAATTTAAAGCAGAAGTAAAAGCATTAGAATACGGTACATAGCTTAGCAGACAAAATGCTGGTACATACATTAAATGCACTCATTTATAAATATAAATTGTGAACGTATGATAAAATTGTCACAGCAGAAGCATCTGATACACAAATAATATACATTTGTGTTAATAGTTCAAGTGGACCTCTGTATGCTGATTTAAAATCATCTTACATTCATTAGTTAAACAAACCTGTTTTTCATTTACTTACAAATAGAGTTCATCTCCTTCCAGGCTCACTTCTGGCACAATCATGTAATGTGCCAAAGTATTGCATCCTGGGAGAATACATCAGCAGAGCATTGCTGGGAAATCTCATCTGTAATCATGAAATTTCAGTGAAAAGCATTTTCCTCCCCTGAGATGATGTGCATGGTCACATGTCCTAGTCACACTGTACTGTATCTCCCTTTACTTCCTAGTAACTCTGCCAGGAAGTAAAGGGAGATACAGTATATTCATCTGCCCTTAGCAAAAATGGCCACTGTCAGAGGACTGGTATAGAAAAGAAAACTTAGGTATGCAAAGAATAAAAAGGAAATTACCTAGAAGTATGTGTTTGTAGATTTCCATTACTAAACATTTCTAGGTATTGTGATAGTTTGGGGAATATAGCACAATGGTAAGCGCTAAGTGACCACATATCTGTTCTCATGCTGGGCAGAACGTCTGTTTTGCAGCAGACTGCCTTGTCTCTGGAATGGATACATGGTATCTGTGTGCAGGTTCACAACCTGAGCCAGCACTACAGGAAGAGGCACTCAGCTGCAAAGGGAAGTTCTCCCCCAGCATGAGAAGACATGAGGATTTAAAAGGAAGAGCAGCAAAGAGAAGGGAAACTACCATGGATTACAAAAGGCACACATTACAGTATTGGTTTATGTTAAAAAATCTGAGGGTTAAATGTCACTTTAAGTTCAAGCAGTACTGTTACTATTGGTTTGTGTTTTATTTTGTGATCA